GCACTTGGCTGGAAAATATTTTACATAATTTATTGGTTCTGTTCAGACTGAGTGTATAATATTGTAAAATATTAACCCTTGAATGCAATGAGTAAAATTATAACAGTGTTGTAGATTCAGTTTTAACCGCTTGATTCAAAAATGGCGTTTTCCTAACACCTTAAAACTGTATTCCCTGATGATTATGAAGAGAAATAAATGATTTTAAACCTCAGTTTGACTCATGGATTTGAGTTTCATAGATTTGTCTCTCTAAAGGTGTCACATAAGATATGTTGAAGTAGTTAGTTAGATTGTCTTTTCACTTAATAAACTATTTTCTTTCTTTCTAATGATAAAGAGCACCTATCATTTAGTATTTATCAGGTATGTATATCTACACTTTATTCCATTTGTAAGTAATCTGGGAGTATTAAATAGCCTTTTCCAATTGATTTGGCTGGCATTTTTGCAGCCTATCAACTATGCAATAAAACACATATATGTTCTCGAATATATTTTAATTTGTAGCCCAATGAGAAATATAAAAGACAGCATTTATACACTGAAAAAATAAAAACGGTGTAGAAACAATTTTCACTCAGAAATGGTTGGTAAATTTCACAATTACAAAGAAACGGCAAGTAACATTGAATTAAGCATGAAATTTTAAAGTACAAAGACTGAAATATTATTTTCTTGTAAAACGTATAATTTTGGTTTATTTACAACTTTAAAAAATCAGTCACATAGTAGACCACCGTTATACAAAAAAAGTCAGTGAGTTGGTTATTTTCTCAGCGTGAGGAATGTGTTTTATCCATGGAAACGTTCAGTGATGTGTCAAATCCCACAGGTGAGTGTGAGAAGAGGCTATATTTGATAAAAATATGCTCAAATCTGCATTTCAGTGTTACTGAGGGATGCCATGTGCGTGAGAGACGGCGAACTATTCCTCTAACAAAGATGCAGTGCATGGAAATGCCCTCTTCATTCTTTTTTATTGAACAATTTCTAATCTGGATTGCATCTTCTCCAGTTTTGTTACTATCATGCAGTCACTGGAGTTTTTGTCATGATCCATAATCACACAGATGCTGGATGTGTAAAGCATGTGTGCGTTTTCAGCTGAGAAGTTCACTGACTGATAGATCCATTAACATCGAATAACAGCAGATAGGACCGTGTCTGACTCGACACTTGCATCATCCACCTCCCAGAATCCCCTCAGGCAGGCAATGAAAGACCAGACTGTTGCCTTCTGACACAATTGGCATGTCACTAAGATGATTCCCATATTATTATTTTTTTGTAGCATAAATTAGTATTTTACGTCTTATTTGTGCATCTGGATTGTCACACTCGTTTACTTTGTAAATTCATATACAGTATAAAGTGTGATATGGCAGTCCCCTATGTATTCTAGACCTGTTCCCTAGCAACCATTTCTTCACCTTCACAAGATCCAGGTTTAAAAATGTTGGGCTTCAAGCTCTTGTTTCTGTCACAGTTCTGCTGGTGTGCCCTAGTTGGCCACCAGATGTCACTGTATTTGTTTGAGCACATGGCTTGTTGTCTGTTTGTTGGTGCCATGTGCTCTCCTGTGTATTGTCTTACCCCGCCCTTCTTGTTATCTCATTATTGTTTCAGTTACTCCACCTGTGTCTCCCTTGTTACCCTCCTCGTTTGTCTCCCTATTTATTCTCCTAGTGTCTGCAGTCATGTGCTGTTTCGTTGTTTAATGTTATGTCTCAGAGTATTGTCGGCTGTGTGTATGTTCCTCTTGCCTTGCCCTGTCTTGGCCTGCCTGCCTGTTCTTCCCCCTCGGGGTAGTTTTTGTTGTGGTTTTGTTTTATTTTATTAATAAGACCCATTCTTCCTGCACCTTGAGTCCTCGCTTCTTCCACTCACCCGTCCCCTGACAGTTTCAATTCTCTACTGTAAGGTTTATGATATTTGCTGAGACTAATAATAAGCAGCAAATATGGCTGTTCCAGCCCAAAGAGTCGCACTCATTCACTTTCACACCTGTGTTATGGAAATTAATTTGGCATAATGTAATAGCCAAGTGCAGAGTTTATTTACGCATAAATGAAATAACGCTAACCATTCCTTTAATTAAATGTCAATAGTGTGATTTATGATTATAATTAATCATTTACAGTGCTGGGTAGTAACTGATTACATAATCAATTACATAAATGCTCATAATGAGATTACAGTTACTTCTTATGGATTACACGATTACATATTCATAAAATGGCAGTAAATGATTAGGCTATTGATTCATTCTCCCTAATTCTTCTTTTATCTCTTTTAATGTTTCCTTTCCAAAAATCCTACTCTGTCATACCATTTAGCTTTAACTATATTCACAATATAGAATGGCCATTATAAATAATTTTTTGATCCATGCTTCTAAATTGGGGGGAAAAGGCAATCTAAAAGTAATCTAAAAAGTACCTACCTAAAATGAGTAACCTAGATTATGTTACTGGCTTCAATTTTCTCCATGTAATCTAACGGATTATATTTTGTAAGTAATCTACCAAGCACTAGTCATTTATAACTTTTTAAAGAGGTAGGGTATCATTTGAGAGCATAATTGTCAGTAAATATTTAAAAATGAAACCTGCTGCATTTTTTATTTGTTCAGTTAACATACTCGCACCCCAGAAAAATTCCCCCGCTGGAAAAAGAACATATAAGCAAAGAACCAGCCTACCGGTTGGCTCTGGTATACATACTGTATGGATTATTTCTGGATGATATATGTCTCCAAAGCTGCCTGCAAACCAATTTAGGAAGTGGGACGTATAAACAAAGCCAGTCTGCATTTGCTCAGAGAGATGTGAGCTACAATTGTATTGAGAGTACACTTGAAGTAGCCTATCAGTGAAGACTTTCTTGTTTAAAAATACTCTTGAAAGTTTTGAAACTGGTTAGACTTTAGTTTCCACGTTGTTTATTTTCACTCTCACTACATGCTACTCTTTTTTATGTTTTTTTTTTCCATCTGTTGTGCCTTGTAGTCCTTATATTTCCCTGATAGTACAGATGTCCCATGACATTCAGGACTCTTGAGAACAATCACGGTTTCATGCACAGAAAGTGGAAACATCTTTTCACAATTTGCGAAGACGTGGCTGGGTATCAGACATGACGCTGTCATTGGGAAGACTAACATGCTCATTTTCACTTGCACTGCCAAACCACCACCATAAATCAGATGTCCTACACTCAGGGAAAAAAAAATCACAAAGCAACGCTACCCATCTGCACAAACACATGCCTAAATATGGCTTTGGCAAAGTAATTTAGATAATTGTGTAGAATGGAAATTGTAGATTTAAGTTGGATTGGTTTTCTTCCATGACTACTTTTAATGATATGTTTATAATGACATTAACTCATTTTGTTTGTGTGTGTTACTGATATTGTATCCATTTAAAAGTTTACACTGTTTTTTAAAAATGCTTCTGTTTACCAATGTAACATTTAACTGATCAAGTAGTACATTGCCGTTTGATTTTTTATGCATTTTAAATTTTTTTTGTTTTACCTGTGATGTCAAACCCCAATTTGAGCAGAATTTACAAAGAAAACACTGTTACAAAATCATTCTGATGTGCTCATTTGCCATTCTAATGTGTGTGTAATAATATGTGAAGAGTTTATTTGCAAAAACAGATAACTCTGGATAATTTTGTTTTAATTTTCAAAAATCATGTTTTTTATGATGTTACCATGTTTTTATTGTCTTTTATTGTGTTAGTTAGCTGTATTTTTAAGTTATTTTTTAACCTAATCAAAATAACCCAACTGCAGTTTGATTGAGATTAATTGGAATGCACAATGAAAAAACATGATTTTTGAAAAGTGTTTAAAACGGAGTTATCTGTTTTTGCAAATGAACTCTTCATGTAATCACATTATGTATACACACAGAATATATTATTTTATATTTTTATTAAAGTATAGAATTTTTATTAGATATTTATCAAATTAAATACATTTTATTTTATATGTTTTAAATTATATTATTGAATATTATGGAAACTATGTTGGTTTTTATATTTAATTATTACATTATCAAAGAACATTTTCACTTCAGTCAAGCAAATTCCAACACTCTCAAAAACTCCCATAATAATCTCTCAAGCTGTTTACACTGTGAAATTAATATCTTACTTACACTCGTACATCTTCACTTTGTTGTTTCTGATAAACGAATTAGCCAGAGAATTCAGTCAGCGAGCGCACGCGGTGACGAAACAGCGTGTTTCAGCGGTGACTCATCTGAACGCCTCTGATTGGTCCTTGCATTCATAAACTCAACATAATCGTATGTGATTGGTTATAATGCGTAGTGCTTTAAAAACGCGTGCGTCTCTGGCTCTGTGCCAGCCAGCGAACGCAGATTTGAATTTAGCAGCTGGTGATGTTTTTCTTTTATATATATATATAGTTTACAGGACAAACTGCGCATTTCACCCAAAATTGTTTGGTGTGATATGATTCCAAATTTAGGGGGGCCAAAGGGGCCACCCCCTAGAACCGCCCCTGAGTCCAGGGTCACAAATTATGAATGGGTGAATTTAAAAGGCATGTTCACCCAAAATGAAAATACAATGGAAGTCGATGGCTACCAGTTTGGTTTCTATCGTTCTTCAAAACATCTTTTGTGTCGAATAGAAGAAAGAAACCATAGCCTACGGAAAATTTTCATTTTGGGGTAAACTATCCCTTTAAGTTTGAGGAGCCTCAAATCCATCATTTAAATAAGAATGCGCCTTTCTTTCAAAAACAAGTAAATTGAACAAAAACAACTTTTGAACCATAATTCTTTTTACGTCGGAAGTATACAACACGTGTTATTTGAATGACAAGAGTCCAGTAGTGCTGTTTGTGTGTTTGTGTCTGTATGATAAGAGTCCAGAAGTGCTGTTTATGTGTTTGTGTGGGTCTGAGGCTCCTGATTAGTGTCGCGTCGCTGCAGCTGCGCCTGCACTGAGCGTGCGCGCGACGGCGCTGCGAGTTTGACAGCAGCAGGAGAAAGAGAAGAGAAGAGAAGCTGCGGTGCGCGCCGACAAACAACACACTAAACGTAGGCTACACCAGTCCCATGAAACTGGACAGGTCGAGGATTCATCACTGGAATCGGTGAGTTTCACGTTTCATTATCTTGAATGCAGCGTTATTCTCTCCGTGATTGTGGCGCGGCGCTTTTGCTGAGGAGAATGCGCAGTATTTGAGTCAATGAGGAGCATCCAGTCGTGCTTCTCCCATGGCAACCAATGATGATGCGGATTTTCACGGCAATATGGCAGGGGATCACAAAGGATGCGTTTCTTTGAAATATCACACAACACGTCCGTTTGATCCGAACGCCGTTTAAAATGTAGCTTTCATTGTGCGTCGTGTCGATAAACGGCCCGTCATGAAAGTCTATGTTTAATTGAAATCTTGCTCGGTCACCAGCAGGTGTTCCCGTCATTCTCAGGCATCATCCTCAATATTTGCTCATTATGGCGCATTTCCGAAATGTAAATATTTGATTTGGGTATTTATTCATTTTCATTTGAGAACTAGATGGACCTGCTGTCATGGCATGAAGACAAAAACGACCGTTTACAGTCATAGGATACCCCACAAAAGACAACGGGAACAAGGCTTTCATTAGCGTACTGCATCTTTCTTTATGGCCTTTGTTTCTTTTTGAAAATAATGTTATAAAGTAATTGCACTTTCCATTAATAGGGTGCAAATGGGGCCTAAACTCTTAAAAAGGTACATATTTGTTATTTTACACTTATTTTTATTTTAACAAATTGTGAAAGGAAAATTGTCAGCCTCACTGTTGTCAACTGAATATTATTTAAACTTTTCTATTTTCAGTTCTTTTTCTTTGGTGTTCATAACTTTTGCAACCCTGTTAAAATTTGGGACCTGTCTAAATGCAGTTTATACCCTGTTTTGTGTGTGTGTTTTTTTTGCAGTTTTACATTAAATGAACATCTAAAATAGGTTATAATGTTTTAATAATACATAAATAAACAAACTTTGGCAGTAACAGGATGGCAAATTTATAATAAAGTGTTGAATAATAGGACCCATTTGTTGGATGATCAACTTTATATTTATGGCATATTTCTCATATATATTTCACTCACACACACACACACACACACACACACACTTATGTCTGGTCAGCTATCCTTGTGGGGACTCTCCATAGGCGTAATGGTTTTTCTACTGTACAGACCGTATTTTCTATTGCCCTACACCAACCCTACCCCTAAACCTACCCCTCATGCAAAAATGTCAACAATTCTGTGTTTTTCTGTCAATATGGGGTGCTGTGTGTACATTAATGAGGAAAAAAAAATAACTTAAATGATTTTAGCAAATGGCTGCAATATAACAAAGAGTGAAAAATTTAAGGGGGTCTGAATACTTTCCGTACCCACTGTATATATATATATATATATATATCTTATAATATCGAGGGCAACAGGGTTGAATCAAATTGTTGAGCTTGACACATGCAGTCAATTATGATTTTGAGAAAATTAAATGAGAATATTTACTTCATGCTGTAAAAAGACTGAAAATAATAGAGGAATTTATTCATTTATTATGTGTAAAATATCAGGCACGATGAAAGACTGAAATATTATAAACCCACAAACAGAGAATGCAAAAGGCTACAATTGTTCTTTTCTGTCAAGTGATGAAACTACAGGCCGACTGCATTGGTCAGTGTTTTAATGGACGTCAGGTGTAATTTACTGTACAATACATGCAGCATTACGCCAAAAATACCAGGAAGTGGTCTGTTTATGAGGTTACAGGCTGTTGTATGTCAAACGTGATTTAATTAGAATCAGTGATGCTATTTAGAGAGTTATTTTAAAATAACTCAGGACATTGTCTAATTGCCAAATTTTATTGCAGGTATTTTTTGTGGACTCTTTGCTTTTGCTGTTACTGAAGGTCGACACTAGTGCTATTTCATATTCAGGTTTACGCAGTGCAGTTTAGTAGGAGAATTTATTGTATCATGGATGGTTTGTGCTTTGCACTAATTCATTGTAATTTTTCATGGATTTTAAATACTCTGATGGCTTCATAGGTGACCTGCAGGCGGTCTAACATCGACACAACTGAATAATGATTAATGAATGGGAAAATATGGGACATTTGCTTTCATGTCCCAGGCAATGGGATATTATTATGCACATGTGCATAACAGCTGTTACTTTGTGTGCTGCAAAGCCACAAGTCCCATAGTGAGATGAGAATAGTTTCCTATTTAGCTTTTCATAGCAATTTTTAATTAGCATTTGCACAGGGCAGTAATGACAGAAATTAGTCTGTGTGAGAGTGAATGCTAGTGTCATGCAGTTGAGAGTCAGGAACAGAAAACCAATTGTGGAGCATTGAACAGGATCTTTATATATATGGGTGTAAATATTTTTATTTTATTTTATATTTTCTTATTTATTAAATTCAATTGTATTATTTATTTTTTAATTATTTACATTTAATTTGATTAGAATTCCTTACTAGCTCTGAAGTTGTTTTGGTACAATTCATATTGTTTCATTGCAAAAATATACTTTTAATATAATACCTTTGTCACTGCTCCATAAAATGCATCTGCTTTGGAAGTAGATGGGAAATCTGAATTTGGTGGATTTTTACAGATTTTGTTTTTAATTAAGAAATTACATTTGTATTCTCTTTATTTATTAAGTTCCTTAATTTATGCCTTTTTCTTTGTTTGTTTGCTGCATTTTAAACCTGTTTATATCAAAACTATGCTCCATGAAATTGTATTCTGAACAGAGTCCAGGTGGAACCACATCAAATGCTTTTTTTGGGGGTTCTTGGATGGGAATTTATAGCAACGCTGATGAAGCACAACAGGCACCAGGTATGTGCCACCAAGCCAGCTGTGCTTCATCATGAACCTTTGCCTTCTAGCCATGCACTTTTCACCATCTGGTATGGATTGACTGGACAATAATGCACAGAGAGGATCACAAGGAGAGAAATAAATAGCTTTTGCTGTGGATTTGGAGTGTTTGTTTGTGACTCAGTAAGTTCAGATGCTGGATATTTACATAGACACATTGCACCAGCTGCCATCGGAATGGCAGGCTAGACATTTGCATGCCCGTAATTGCTTTGCAAATATGCCACATGTGCCTTGTGTCCTGATTTTAATGCATCATAAATTCTAAGCTTGATTTAAGGGGCATGAACTCAGTGTAACAATAGTTTTTGTGACCGGAATTGCTGGGTAAATGCAACAGGTGTTCTGTTTCCTTTCATATAAATCCTACATGATGATATAGCATATCATTGGGATTACGGATTGTATGAAATGTCTCTGTTGCTTTGTCTTAACATGCTTGTTATTCATCAAAAAGAATAAGCTGACTTTGAGCTATTTTCTCTTGTCGTGGTTGATAAACGATTAGTGGAGATTAAGGTCAAACATGTCTGAAGATGGACCATAGATGTTCACGGCGTCATGTGATTGTGCCTCTCTCTTTCAACCAATCAGCTGGTGGATTGTGTTGTTAAGGTGTGGTCAGATGAGTGAAATTTGGCTAAATTTTGTGGGCAAATATTGGTAGGATTGACTTTGAAACAATTTTCAGTCAAAGATTGCTTGTAGATTTGACAGATAATTACAAAGAAATGACAATAAACACTGATTTAAATGTGCATTTTTTTTATAACACTGTCACTCAGAAAATGCTAGTGAATTTCACAAACAATTAAAATAAATTACAAGTAACAAAATTAATCTTAAAATATTTTAAAGTAGATTTTTAAGTAAATATTTGAAATAGAGAAACTTAAAATAGTATTTTATAGTAAAATGTACATCAGTATTCTTTTTTTTTTTTACAGTGTAGATTAGAAAGACTGAAATTGTATTTTCTTGTAGAACATACTCCAATAATCTTTGTTTAATTTACTAAAATTGAAATTGAAATGATTGGATTTGGCTGCATAAATTCGACAACTAATTGATGGGACCATATCAAAGCATGAATAATATTTATTAAATATGTTCTCTAGAAGACATAATTATTGGATTCTGATGGGCCGTAACTGATTTTGCTCCTTCAGAGTTGTTGGTTTGGCTTAAAAAAGCTGTGATCAGCAATATTACATGAAGGACTGTTTATATAGTGACTCGTTTCTCTTAGTAGAGGTGATTTATTTCATGTGCTGTATGATAAATGTGTGCCATTTTAGTCGATGCACAAACTGCATGCTTCTAATTGAATTACATTATAAAGCACGGTGATTTGGGTGATGAAAACTTCAAGAAATAAGTGGCATGCGTTTGCCTCCTATATAGAGTACTGTATGTTGTGCTGATTAAAATATAAGCTTTTTCAGCTCCATCTGTCTGGCTTGATTTATGACGTACAAGCTGAGAAAAATGCAGGACTGCAAAATGCATTGGATAAATGTTTACATTTGGCCTGTATTTCTATATATGTAGGCAATTCTATGTTTTATTTCTCTAATAAGGTTAAAGGGTTAGTTCATCCAAAAATGGAAATTGGCTTGTGTTTTACTCACCCTCAAGTCATCCTAGGTGTATATGACTTCTTCTTTCAGACTAATCCAGTCAGAGTTATATTAAAAATTGTCCTGGCTATTCCAAGCTCTATCATTGCAGTCAGCTGGTGTTGCAGTTGAACAGTCCACAAGTCGTCAAATAAAGCGCGCGCATTCATAATAAAACGTGCCTCACACGGCTCCGGGGGGTGAATAAAGGCCTTCTGTAGTGAATCCATGCGTTTTTGTAAGAAAAATATCCATATTTCAAACGTAATAAACACTTTTCTCTCACTTCCGTTATCTGTCATACGCGGAAGTTGTTCCGGCGGAAGGCGTATGACATATGCGCAGCACTCGCGCCTTGAGATATGCTAGTCTCACGAGTTTATAGTTTATAGGAGCAAAGGAAGCAAAGTTTCCTTACTTTAGCAAAGGAAAACCAGTCTCCTCTTGCTTATATCAAAATCCTCCAACATTTTTCTTTGCAAATCTTCGGTTTGTACCTCTAATTCATGACCGGCGTTTTGTTTTGTTGTCTCTCCGCATTCGTCACTAATCACACAACGCCG